GTCGTATAAGCATTATTGAGATATAACTGGGATATATTTTCACTGGGACATTGTGTGCAGCAACGGACACTCTGATGTATGTATTTTTAGATTCTTGCTAAGTTTGTACTTTATGTTTCATATACTTATGATATATTACTGTAAATAAATTATTGTTAAGTTTAAATTGTGTTATTGATCTTTGCTGGCATTTCGGGTAATTCTGACCCATAACAGAATATATTCCCAATGATACTCTAACTAGCAATCAACAACGGGATATTAAACAGTTCTTATTGGTTCTCAGTATATGCCAGTAAAACCTCTCACAACCAATCAACAATTGGAGTTGAACAGTTCTGATTCGTTCTTAGATAATCCCAGAAAACCTTTTGCATGTACAAACAATCAACACCTTACATAAATCTGATATTTCTGATTGGACCAGTTCGTAATTGATAATGACATAAATAAGAAGAGTACTGACCATAAATTGGTCACAGCTGACGAGTTCATGGTATATCTATTGTGCCATGTGTCAACCACTTGCATCATAATCTGTCATAGTTTTGTACCTACAGATTTTTCTCTGGAAAATGGCTTTTTTCACATCTAACGAGCACAAAATTATATTTGTATGGCAAAAGTGACATAACTCTGAATTCATTTGGTAAAGTTATGCCTTTAGAAGGGGATTTCTTAAACCTTAAAATCAACATCATGTAATAAGTGTATCTACACGTTGAGGACATCATTAAAAAAACTGATTTGTCAAATCAAAGGATATAAAAAAAAACTTGAACAAAGAGTGAACTTAAAACTGTTTCTATTTCTAATTATCTTATTTCACCTTCAAACATATTATGGAGTACATACTGCTGGAACTATGAACAAAGATAGCAATTCATGCATGAGGTGGTGTCTAAAATAGGAGAAACTAACTTATAAATCATAGCTAACAAAAAAACTATATATAAATAAATGGATAAGGTAAAAGCTTTAATTGTAATATTTCTAATTAAACCATGTGTTGAATAGATTTGGCTTTAACTCCGTTGGTAACAGCTCCGTTGGTCTTTGGTTTTTTCATAAGAGTTTCTGTAAAAGTCTGCGAACATGACGAGGAATATAACAGCGTAGACTAGAATCCAGTAAACAAACAGTGTGGGTAAGTCACAGTCAATAAACAACAGCTATATAGAGTGGATCGTTGCCAGGATAAACTGGGTCTGTCAAAAAAAAAAAATAAAGATTCCTTCTTTATGATTTAACATGTACAATTTTGAATGAATTGAGTCAACTTTAAAGCATTTATTTATCTGTTAACAAAATTACATAAGTCTTTTACCATAACGCTACGGATCCTGTAATGCAAAAAATGTGCATTTTCTGACGCAAGAACTTTTGCGCACTGGTTGGGAGAATTTCTCCACTTTCCAGCATTTTTCACCCCCTAATTCCGGACACATTTTAAAATAAGTTTGTATATTTTATCCCTCTATTAACTCTTACCCCGTGGGGATCCGGGTTAGAATAGGTCCTCAGTACCCCCTTGCTTGTGGTAAAAGGCGACTAAATGGGGCGGTCCTTCGGATGAGACCGTATAAACCAAGGCCCCGTGTCACAGCAGGTGTGGCACGATTAAGATCCACCACCCCTGCTCAAAGGCCGTAAGTGCCGAGCATAGGCCTAAATTTGCAGCCCATCACCGGCAATGGTGACGTCTCCATATCAGTGAAATATTCTGGAGAGGGAAGTTAAACAGTATACAATCAATCAATCTCTTAACTCTTTGAATTGTCTCCTCTTTACGCGATAAAGTAGGTTGATTTTTATTGTCTACGGGATTGCAGAAAATTCTAAATCAAGCGATTTTATCGTTGTAGAGACCACTACAAAGTAATGTGAGGTGAAAAAATTATACAAATTTCTTTAAAAATGTGTCCAAAATTATGTTGGAAAATGTAGATTTACCAATAAATTCCCTAAAACAGTGCGCAAAATTTTTTGCACTGTAAATTCCACATTTTATTGGTATTACAGGATCTGTAGCATTATGGTCAAAGACTAATATATAAAACCATCAAGCTACAGTGCTGCAACTAGGATTAGAAGAAACTAACTTTTGTGGAATCATTAATTTTTGTGGTCGCTCAATTTTCGTGTAATTTGTGGTTTTCTCTCATTCATAAATTAATGTTCTCCACAAATTAATTAACTATGGTAATAAAGTCATATGTCCTTTCCTAGGTATAAGAGAAGGCGCAAAATTATACCCTCAAACCTGTAAAATTTAAGTAATCCATAAAAAATTGGTTCCGAATATCTTTTAAAACAAGTACCCCGCCACAGCATGATACGCCCGTCAAATATTGTTCAATAATCATTATTTGGTCAGGGTGCAAGAAAATCTGGTAACCTTTATTAACAGAATGACACAGATTTCAATTTCCAATTTTTATCATGTTTAAAATATTGTACATACATCTCAAGAGACTTACAGTGAAGGGATTAATAATAACAAATAATTCATCATATAATTCTAAACTGGCTGTGTTAGAGCTTAATAATAATAATGAATATCCCTCTGAAGTTTTAAATTGTTTATTGCATATTTTATGAAATACTGGAGATGCTACATTCTAATAAAAAAAATCAAAAATATATTATTCTTTAGACTATAAAAGTCTAAGTGAGACATGACTGTAATTTGGTTCAAATATATAAAAATTGAAATGTATTTTATTTCAATGAATACATTAGTTTTAATCATATTATACAACACTAATTTAGTTTTAGTCATACTCTAAAACATCAATTTGTTTTAGTTAAATTACACCAATTGAAAGATCTTTATCTGGACTATAGCCATCAAGAACTTTTAATTAAGACGAGCAACTATGAGGCCATTTCTTTTTGCCCAACTCCCAAGGGATAAATTAAGACAACAGCTGCATGATCAGGTATACTCTACCAGTTACCTCCTGACCATCAACTCATTAATTTTTTTCTATAACTTGACATGCAAATTTCTGTTATCAAAATTCTCCTTGACCAGTGCTTGATAATTATGCCCATGGGACAAACTGAATTCCTCTCTTAGCATTATCATTTGTTACAGATTGCTGTAAAGTATATGATGAAAAAATAAGTTTTTACTTGATTTAACATTTTTTTAATAAGGATACTACTATATTTTTACATTTTTAAGAATATGAAATTTAAAAGACTTAGTTTTATTTTTTTAATTTTACTTAAATTAAAGGTCACAGTGACCTTGAAATAGCCCGTGACACATCTACTTTAGATGTAAACTTTTGCCAAGTTTGAAAGCTCAATGTCTAATAGTTTTCTAGTTATGAGCCGACAAGGATTTTTCAAAATTTGACCATAGCATCTTTATTAAAGGTCAGAGCGACCTACTTTTTGTGCGCGACACACCGTCTATCCAAGAAGTATCAGTTGACAAATTTTGATAATCCAAGGCATCATAGTATTAAATTTATGAGCCGGGCACTAATGGACATATGGACAGCTAGACGGACGGACAGACATAAAGCCTGTAACATAATACGTCTCTTCTGAAGACGGGCGTATAATGATTCCAGAATATATAAATCATATCATACTTATATCAATACAATGTTATTGTCACATTAACTGACATGTTAATGTCAGTTTTGGGAACTCAAATGAAAGAAGATAATTATGAACTTTTCACTCGATTAAAAAATTGATAGTGACCCATTATCTACATAGATGTCCTGCATTTTTTCCATCAGAGATATTTCTGGCACTGGGGGCCCAAGGCTGCCATACCATAGTAAGTGTACATCACCAGGTGTATAAAGGAATTCAGCATAGAGTGAAAGGACCCAAATCCACCTATAAGTGAAAATACACAAGGTCAAGGAAAAGGTATTGAATTCAAAGGTAGATGACTTCAAGAACAATTACCTGAGGTTAATAAACAAATACATGTACTTGAGGTCAAGGTCATTTTCCTATGGCCCAAGCAAATTCAAAATTAAGATTTTTCTGCACAACAGCAGTAGAGAAAGAGAAATCTTCAAAATTACCCTCTACAAATTTGACTCCAAACCAACATGAAAAGGGTATAATTCCATAAAGAAAAACGTGTAAAAACGAGGCCTGGTTAAACTTCTTTCTCATCACAAAGAGAAAAAGAAACATTACTTCAGTGTTATATTCAGATACTAAATTGTTGTTCTTCATTCTGTTGTTAAAACACAGTACACATGTACTTATCTAAAAAATCTACTAGAATTACACGCTGAAGTATGAACAGGAACTGAAAAATGATAGTGAAAATATTAGCCAAAAGTGGAAGGAAATGATCAGGTGTCTTGGTACAATAGGTTAGACTCCGTGGCCATTATAGTTTGAATAAAATTTTCATTCACATGTGCCTTGCTTGTTTGTGAATCGTTTTGGATTTTTATCGAATTTGCTTTTTATCCCCTAATTCCTTACACCTCCAATAGAAGTGATTGCAAGCACTCTCTCTGTTAAACAGGCCTCTGGTCACTTATCTGGAAAATGTAGGTCAGATCCAAAGCAAGTCTGGTTGTGTCCATCCCCAGATGCATCATACATCCAGGGGCAGCTTACTGATGGTAACAATTGAACTTTTCTGCACTTAAATTGTACATATCTGGTTAATCATATCAATCTACTTTGGCAATCAATTTAATACTTTTTTACATAAAATAATTTGAATAATTTTTATCATTAAACAAATTATGCAAATGATTGTGCATATATTATTGGACTATTAACATGGTTAATTTGTTAAAACTTGATAAATGCGTCTTATTGACTCAATAATGACATACTAACTAGGTGTAGACCATAAACAATACTGTTCACTTTTCAATCATGTTAGAAATTTTCGTTTACAGATTTAAGAAATTTATTCCTAGAACAAACTTTTTTTAAAATATAAGTTATCATAAAGGCATGCAATAATATGAAAGTTTTATAAAATGAAAGTAGATATATTGGAATTTTTTTCACTATTTATAGCAACTGAAACTTTTTATTTCAAAATGGACTCCATTACAAGCTCACAAACGTAAGTTTTAATGACAGGGATGTATAACTTTTTAAACAATTCCTAATTCATCTGAGTCAGTGTTATTTGTTGACAGTAAAATTGGTTTTTGCTTTGTACATCACTGTATTTCAAACATTCGATACAAAACATGATTAATTTGAAAAGACATTTCACTATTTATAAAAATTCATGATTTAGTTGAGGATTTTTTTTTATTTCGATTCATGGATGTAAAAAAGATTTTAATTATTAAGATAAAATTTACACTCACTCTACAATTTTTTTTTTATAAAAAGATAATCTAATACACTTATCAATGATGGTAATTATATTATAGATTTACACATTAATTCACACAAGTCACACATTAATTATACTAGAATAAAAATTCCACTTTATTCATTTTTAGTAAAACAGCCATACAACACATATCAGAGTCAGTGTTTGTTGGACTTTGTCGTAAATTAGGGACTGCGGAACTTGTGTCCATGAAGAGAGATGTGATGGACATCAGTGAGATAGTGAGAAATCAAGGGAAATCAAGTGTTGGGAAAAGTTTGATGCTGAGTGGAAGTCACAAAGAAGGATTCAGACTGGAGGGATCAGACGTCGACTTTATGTTGTGGCCAAATGATCATCACGTCATCTGGGAATTATCTCAGTCTCAGTATTTCAACACACACAGAAAAACATTGATCCTCTGTGACTGTTCTGAGAGTCCACCAGGATTCACTTTGTTATATTTATTGTCACCAAGCATGGACAGAGACATCCAAAGAGTTTGTGTTAAAATGAATAACAGACATTATATATCTAGTTCTAAACATAGACAGAATTTTTTATCTGAATCATCATTTAACTCCACTCTACATGGACCCTGTGCCAGTAGAACAATTGGAACACACGAATTTGATAATGCCCTATGTTTTATCAGTGCCTTTTGGCCTCCACCCGCCTCCTCATGGATAGACAGATGTCACTCATGGCCCCAGCCTCATATTGTTGAGGATATAGTGAAAAACGGATGTCACTTTGTAGCAATAGGACATAAGCTAGGAAGACATGAAGACCATGAATGGCGAATTTCTTTCTCTCTGGCAGAACAAAAACTTGTGTATACATTGAGCCACTGTCAATTCTTAACTTATGGCTTACTTAAACTATTCCTAACTGAAATAATTAACAATGGACTCAATGATGATGATAAACTAATGTGTTCCTATCACATGAAGACAGCAGTTTTCTGGGTGATTCAAAAAAACATTATATCTCACTGGTGTCCACAAAATCTCCTGGAGAGTTTTTGGGTCTGTTTTAAACTCATCCTCAAATGGGTGTATGAGGGGGTCTGTCCTAACTTTTTTATTCCAGAAAACAACATGTCTCTGAGTAAAATTCATGGTGAAAAACAACAGCAACTATTCATTAGACTGTATGGGTTGTATGAGAAAGGTTTAGCATTCCTGCTACACAGTCCCTCCATTAGATCGTATATTATAAATGTCTTTCATAACCCAAGACTCTCCATCTGTACAGATGAACATACTCTGATTTCTGAGACTGAATTTGACGGGACCCTTTATTATGAAATACTACGCAATGACACAATACAGAAATTAGACATACGAAGTTGTACTAAATACTTACATACTATAAATCAGATGATAGGTTCACCCCTCCTGACACAGTATCAAGTCCTCAAACTACAGAAACTTACAGCTGATGTCCTTCAGGAAACAGCCTTTATATTACACATGAAAACTTACACACATAAAAACAAACTGAGGTATAAATCTGACAAAATCTCCTATCACATTCTTAAATTAGCAGCAAAGTTTGGTTGTATAACTGACATGCTCTACAACACTATGTATTATTACAAGAAACTGAGATGCATGGAAGCTTTATCTATTATAGAGATGATCAAGGTCAAGTTAGCACAGCGATATGTGATGCATTGGTCATTTGTAGATGCGGAGAGGTACACTGTGTGTGTGTGTGTGTGTGTGTGTGTGTGTGTGTGTGTGTGTGTGTGTGTGTGTGTGTGTGTGTGTGTGTGTGTGTGTGTGTGTGTGTGTGTGTGTGTGTGTGTGTGTGTGTGTGTGTGTGTGTGTGTGTGTGTGTGTGTGTGTGTGTGTGTGTGTGTGTGTGTGTGTGTGTGTGTGTGTGTGTGTGTGTGTGTGTGTGTGTGTGTGTGTGTGTGTGTGTGTGTGTGTGTGTGTGTGTGTGTGTGTGTGTGTGTGTGTGTGTGTGTGTGTGTGTGTGTGTGTGTGTGTGTGTGTGTGTGTGTGTGTGTGTGTGTGTGTGTGTGTGTGTGTGTGTGTGTGTGTGTGTGTGTGTGTGGAGGCTGTAGGGGGACAGTCCTGGTCTACAAAGATAAGACAGGCTGTAGTAGGGAATATTGAACTTCACAATGAAATCCATTACATCAATGAATTGATACCAGAACAACAGTCTGCTCTACAGAATAATAAGACTACATTATTCATTCCACCCTTTGTACTGTTATACATGCTAGAGATTTTGTGCTACAGACATGTAGACACAATAAGAGCACAAACAGCTCTAGATGATCTACAGATCCTAGTTCACTATGATCAGCGACAGTTTATACCTTTATGTTTCAGAGATATATCATGGCAGATTCTGGGGATCTGTCAACAGGTGACAGGGAACCTCCAGGCTGCTCTATACTCATACCAACAATCTCTCAAACAAGAACAGTACCATTATATACAAACAGCTACACAAATGAGAATAATGGAAATTTGTCAATTGAATGCCTCAATTTCTTAAATATCAGAAATGTGTAGAAATTCACCAGATATAAATCATCATTTACATATTATCCTCATTTGATTTCATATTTTCTTTTCTGTCTGTTTTATAACATGCATTATAAAACTACTTAAAGTCGAGAGAATTTTAGATTCAATATCTTGGGATCATATTGAATTCTCAGTTCACAATATATTTAAGAGTATGCTTTGAAACATTCTGAATAGGAGTGTTCAATATCAAAAACATGCACCCTTTGTAAAAAAAATCTGTCAACTACTCAATGGCAAACCGTATTGTGACATCACAGCAGTGGGATATGAAAAAATATTGAAAAAAGTTTTACCCATTGGGATAAAGGGGTAAATATGTGATAACAAGAGGCCCATTGGCCACATCGCTCAACTGAGCACTGCGGCTAGGCAAAGTATAAATTGGTTTATTATTGAAAAGGTAAAATCCAAAAGTAGTCCCATGACTAATCATGGCTTTGCTATTCTTGAGAAGATGATTTTTAAAAGAATTTTCCTTTATATGTCCTTTGTAAAACATTGGTCGGCTATTTTGGCCCCGCCCTACCCCCCGGGGTCATGATTTGAAAAGCTTTAATCTACACTACCTGAGGATGCCTCCATATACCGGTAAATATGATCAATTATGGCTTTGTTATTCTTGAGAACAAGATTTTTAAAGAATTTTCTTATATATTTCTATGTAAAACTTTGGTCGGCCATTGTGGCCCTGCCCTACCCCCGGGGGTCATGATTTGAACAAATTTGAATCTACACTATCTGAGGATGCTTCCATATAAATATGATCAATTATGCCTTTGTTATTCTTGAGAAGATTTTTAAAGAATTTTCCTATATACTTCTATGTAAAACTTTGGTCGGCCATTGTGGCCCCGCCCTACCCCCGGGGGTCATGATTTGAACAAACTTGAATCTACACTACCTGAGGATTCCTCCCCATAAGTTTCATCTTTCCTGGCACAGTGGTTCTTGAGAAGAAGATTTTTAAAACATACCACCAAATTTTCATTAATTCCCAATTATCTCCCCTTGAATGAGGACGTGGCCCTTCATTTGAACAAACTTGAATCCCCTTGAAATTGGCCCAGCGGTTCTTTGGAAGAAGTCGAAAATGTGAAAAGTTTACAGACAGACAGACAGACGGACGCCAGACAAAATGTGATCAGAAAAGCTCACTTGAACCTTCGGCTCAGGTGAGCTAAAATTATCCTAAGTTACCTAATTGTTCTTGAGAAGATGATCCCAACCAATATTCACTACCATGAGTTTTCAAACAAGTACAGATCTCTGTTACATGTATGTTGTATATCTTTCTACTATCTGTAATCCTTGTTATGTAAATTATCAAGTTGGCTGCTATTAAATAAATAAAACCGAGAAAACCTATCAGCTTTCTCCATAAGGTTGTCGTACATATTCGCCAAACGTGCCATGGTTTAATACAATCTATGAATAAAAACAGAATAGTAATTTCATGATGTGTATATAAACCGTGTTATGCTTACTAAGTTGGTTGCTTATGAATAAAACTTAACAACCTTTTCCATGAGATCATTGTACATCTTCATCAAGATTGTCATGATGAAATCTGAATTTAAATAAATAAGGTCTTTATAAGGAATTAGAATAGTAACTGCATGATGTTTGTAGAGCGTATAAAACAGACAAGAATCTGTTTACATATAAAAATAGAAACAATCAGCTATTCACTGGGCTTAAATTGGCTTCTGTAATGGATATCATTAAAATGTATTAAATACATTCAACGCTTTCTCTCATTTCGTGCATATACTGCAGCTAATTAGGTAAAGCACACTTTCACAATATAGTTAATTATTATGATAAAAGGGTATTGCTCCCGGGGCTTTACATTCATTAAAACAATATTGTATGATATACACTTATCTCTGCTACAATAGAGTAAGAAATTTTCATTTTAATAATAAACAAATTTCCTGCATTTAGATAAAATCAGAGGAATTCTTAAGAAAAAGAAAAGTCCCATCAAATTAAGACAGGGCGAGCCTGTGTGAGAAGTGTATTTATTGAATTTTTAAAATTAATCTTCTTCATTCCTTTTCCCGTGCTTTTGGAAAGTATCTTAAGGGGAAAAGGTAATTGACAAAAGGAAATCTGCCAAATTTTCTCGAAAACTTTGTGAAGGGGGATAGGATGTGGCTGAGATTTTCTTGTCAATGTCTGATTATTATTCATTCTATTCCCGGTGGATTTAAAGCTGGATTTTTAAAGCCGCTTAATTAGTCCGATTCTAATCGCGAAAAAATAAATTCGTTTTTTCTTCTTGAAAAATAATTGTCTATAAATTGTTTCAACTTTTGTCAAATTATATCCCAAAAGTACGACGGCGTATTCGTGCCATTTAAACAATGTAGAAATATTTTTTTAAATCGTTTGTAACAAACAAATTGTACAAACGATTTATTAAATCGTACAAACGATTTACTAAATCGTACAAACGATTTAGTAAATCGTACAAACGATTTGTTAAATCGTACAAACGATTAACTAAATCGTACAAACGATTAACTAAATCGTACAAACGATTTAGTAAATCGTACAAACGATTTAATAAAAAATTTCTACATTGTTAAAATGGCACGAATACGCCGTCGTAATAAAAGACCCAGAGAAATTTTCAAATGTAGTGATGGTCTATAGTTTTTAAATATATCAAGTAAATATGATTTTGCATACAATCTACAATAATATTTATGTTAGCTTCCAATCAAAGTACATATTAAAATGAGCTAAAAATACGTAAAGAGTGTTTTTCTTTTTTTGTAAATGACCAAAAATTGTTTCTTTATCAATTTGTATTTCTATATGACTTTTTTACCATATGTGAAAATAAGAAAAAATTAGGTAAAGGAAACATGTAAATATAACTAAAATATCCTAAAAATTTAAGGAAAATAGAAAAAAAATTCAGATTAGCCAACATTTTCCATTTTACTTGAATAATTTATGTCAATTTAGCAACACCTTCTTATAGACCCTAATGGAGTATGTGTTGATGCAAAAAGAAAAACATTTAATTAAGGTTATCCGATCCTCAGCTAGGAAGGATAACTCCGAAAATTAATATTTAATTTGAAATGCATAAAAATAAAGCTTGAAAATGAATTTTTTTCATGCAACAATTTTCATTTTATTCATCTTTATAAGATTGGCTAAAGTGTGTTTTTCATATTATTCATTTCTAGGGAAAAGTTAATTACCTTGACCTGATCTTGCCTTTAATACAAAACGTTGAAATTTAATCTAACTGTTAGGTAACCATCTTCTAGTGATATTGTCTTCTTGATTCTGTAAAAATTCCATTAATTTTAATAAATGTAAGATATATAAGAATTCTTCCATAAAATGGCTGGAATATGAAACATAATTCACTGTTTAATCATCTGTTGAGAGCAGGTATATCTATAAGACCAATACTAAACGATTGTTGTTGCTCTTTACTCAGAAATTATAGGGCTCATCACGCTGGAACAATTTTTAAGCTACTGCTTCATATGAATATCAAAATTTCTTTGACTATACTGATTTTGATTGCTAATGTACATAGATTAATTTTGTAGCAGTATTGCCTTTATAAGCCCCTATCTACGAATCCAAACATCAACAAATGTAAGCTTAAAAATCAAATTCAAGTAATTATAATGATTAACTTATGACAATAATTGATCAGTAACAATGTTTTAACTTGTAACAATGACATGTCAGTAACATTTTAATTTGTGATTGCAATTGTAACTTGTGACCTTATGGGATATTTTTAACTTTGGATGTGCAGACAGACAGATATCCAGTAAGATTTTAACTTGAAGTGACATTAACCTATGACTGTATCAGAATTGTTACTTGTGACGGAAACAATAACTTTACAGGGTTGTTACTTATGGCTGTAATTATAGTAATTTGAGACAGTAATAGAAATTTAGCATTTCATTGATGTAGCATTACTTTGAAGACAATAACAGAAGTTCCAAAATTAAACTTTTTGAACAACAGAACAAAGTAATTCGTGCCTGCTAAGTAAACTGTTTGACAGATGTGAAATATGGTGCGGGGACAGAAGTATTCTTTGTGGCAGTTACCAGCTTATACCTTTCAATCAATAAACCTTAAGGAATAATAGAAAAGGTGGCTGGATTCCAATAAATATACAAAACATTTATCATTGCATTATCTTGCAGTAAGCAGCACTCAAATCATTGACATTCTAGAATTGCTGTAAAATACGAAAGCCGGATAGGCTCATTTCTGAAAAGATAAAAAAAATATTTAACTCGTTATAACGAGTTAATTATTTCGTTATAACGACTTAGTTATCTCGTTATAACGACTTAGTATCTCGTTATAACGAGTTAATTATCTCGTTATAACGACTTAGTTTTATCTCGTGATTACGAATTACTTATCTCGTTATAACGAGTTAGTATCTCGTTATAACGAATTAATTATCTCGTTATAACGAGTTAATGATCTCGTTATAACGAGTTAGTTATCTCGTTATAACAAATTAATTATCTCGTTATAACGAGTTAGTTATCTCGTTATAACGAGTTAATTATCTCGTTATAACGAGTTAATTATCTCGTTATAACGAGTTAATTATCTCGTTATAACGACTTACTTATCTCGTTATAACGAGTTAGTTATGTCGTTATAACGAATTAGTTATCTCGTTATAACGACTTAGTTATCTCGTTATAACGAGTTAATTATCTCGTTATAACGAGTTAGTTATCTCGTTATAACGACTTAGTTATCTCGTTATAACGAGTTAATTTTCTCGTTATAACGAGTTAATTTTCTCGTTATAACGAGTTAATGATCTCGTTATAACGACTTAGTTATCTCGTTATAACGAGTTAGTTATCTGGTTATAATGAGTTAGTTTTCTCGTTATAACGAATTAGTTTTCTCGTTATAACGAGTTAATTATCTCGTTATAACGAAATAATAAGTTGCCCTTTTATTTCCAAATTAATAGCAATATAGGAATTAAAAATGGCTGTAGTTTTAATGCTATTGAAGTTTAGTTGATAATTATCAATCGTTCTTAACTTTAAAATTGATAAAGATCGAGATTAGTTATGCAACATATCTTATATACACTTACAGTGTGATATATAAAATTTTTAGAGTCAGAAATGTTTTGAAAAAAGGGGATATGGAGACATCAGCAATTAGGTCATGGGTCCGCGTAAAATTCGGGGGCTACTGTCCACTCATAAAACAACATCACGAGGCAGTCATAAGGTTCCGTATACACGTACCTGTATTTCTTTGGTTTTTTGAGTAATACAATACAAATCAATTGCA